GCTTACCGCACCACTCCTCGGCGATCAACTAGAGAAACACCATTTTCCCTAGCCTATGGCATGGAAGCAGTGATCCCACTAGAAGTTGGCCGGAAACCTGCGCTCGAGCGGGACTCTGTTTTTCTGAAAATCCTGAAAATGCTTTTAAATGTGCATCTTTGCATCCTCATCCCGTTCTAGGCATTCTTAGGCCTAGTTTAAGACATCTTGATGAGGATATCGTTGTAGAACACACCAAGGCAATTTAGGGATTAAGTTATGATATTTCCCAACTGTGTAGCTTAGTGTGTGTTCAATCTGTTCACTGTGTAGGGTTGGCAACTGGGGAGACACGCTCTAGCATACTGTAGCCCAGAACTCTGTGAGTAACAATTGTGTAAAGATATGTTCAACTGATTATCTTTTGAATACTGAACTGAACTGTTTACTGAACTGGATTTTACTGAATGAATGTATGTCCTTTATTTCTGAACTGTACTGTGCATCCTTAGTACCTACGGTTTACTGTATTGTTACTGTTACAGAGATCTCTGTCGGTTCCCTTGTGGAACCACTACTGTTTATTGACTGATGGCCATCATTACTGTTCGGTCTTTTAAGACCTACTGTTACTGTTATGCTAATGGATGTACCACATATGACTGTTTACTGTACTGAACAACTGGAATACTGATTGAATTGAACTGTTTTTCATTACTGTAAGGACATTCATTCTAAACCTCTTTACGCTTTATGTTATTCACTGGGTTTTAGCTCACTGCTCATATATATATGTAGGTGTACAGGCACCAGATCGGAGCTAGGAGCGTCAGGGTAACTCCAGTTTTGTCAAGCCAGCCTTTGTGCCTCACCGCGAGGTTCCGAGTTGCCATGCTATGGCTTTGGGGGTGTTTTGTTTGTTTCCCCCGTCTGTCTCCATACTGTTTGGATTACTGTATAGACTGACAGTTGCTAACTGTACTGTTATCAAGGGATTAGGTCCCTGTACTGTGTAACTGTAAATTTTGTATAGACTGTACTGTTTGTATATGTATGAATGCATGAAAAATCTTTTTGGCATACAGACTGTCACAGCTCATTGGACACTGTTTAATTACTGTATTGGCTTCCGCCAGGCCCTGTACTCTGTTTTACTGTATTTACTGTTAAGCAGGCCTTCGGTAATCTCGGATTACTGGCCGGTTACGGTGCTAAACCCATAGGGCCGGGTTTGGGTCGTGACACTAGGATGGGTGACCTCCTGGGAAGTCCTCGTGTTGCACCCCTTTTGTCCATTTTTCCACCACCCTCCCCCCCCTTTTTTTTTTCCCCGGATAGCCTGTCCGATTTTTAGCCCATTCAATCACCTTCGCCTCTTTTTCGACAATTTCTCCCTTTTAAACCTTTTCCAGATTATCCTGTTCCATTCAATTTCATTTTTTTCCCCGTCTACTGCTTAAAACAATAAAGTCGCGGTTAATCTTCGGTTGCGATCATACCAGCACTAATGCACTGGATCCCATCAGAACTCCGCAGTTAAGCGTGTTTGGGCGAGAGTAGTACTAGGATGGGGGACCCCCTGGGAAGTCCCCGTGTTGCCCCCCTTTTTCCCCCCCCCCCCCTTTTTTTTTTTTTTCCCCGGACAGCCCTGTCCAATTTTTAGCCATTCAATCGCCTTCGCCTCCTTTTCGACAAATTTCTCTCTTTTAAACCATTTCCAGATTATCCTGTTCCATTCAATTTCATTTTTTTTCCCGTCTACTGCTTAAAACAATAATGTCGCGATTAATCTTCGGGTGCGATCATACCAGCCCTAACGCACCGGATCCCATCAGAACTCCGTAGTTAGGCGTGCTTGGGCGAGAGTAGTATTAGGATGGGTGACCCCCTGGGAAGTCCTCATGTTGCACCCCTTTTGTCCCTTTTTCCAACCCCCCCCGGACAGCCTGTCTGATTTTTAGCCCATTCAATCGCCTTCGCCTCTTTTTCGACAATTTCTCCCTTTTAAACCATTTCCAGATTATCCTGTTCCATTCAATTTCATTTTTTTCCCCGTCTACTGCTTAAAACAATAAAGTCGCGGTTAATCTTCGGTTGCGATCATACCAGCACTAATGCACCGGATCCCATCAGAACTCCGCAGTTAAGCGTGCTTGGGCGAGAGTAGTACTAGGATGGGTGACCCCCTGGGAAGTCCTCGTGTTGCACCCTTTTTGTCCCTTTTTCCAACCCCCTCCATTTTTTTTTTCTCGGGACAGCCTGTGTGATTTTTATCCCATTCAATCGCCTTCCCCTCATTTTCGAAAAATTTCTCCCTTTCAAACCATTTCCAGATTATCCTGTTCCATTCAATTTCATTTTTTTTCCCGTCTACTGCTTAAAACAATAAAGTCGCGGTTAATCTTCGGGTGCGATCATACCAGCACTAATGCACCGGATCCCATCAGAACGTCGCAGTTAAGCGTTCTTGGGCGAGAGTAGTACTAGGATGGCTGACCCCCTGGGAAGTCCTCGTGTTGCACCCCTTTTGTCCATTTTTCCACACGCCCCCTTTTTTTTTTCCCAGGACAGCCTGTCCGATTTTTAGCCCGTTCAATCGCCTTCGCCTCCTTTTTGACAAATTTCTCCCTTTTAAACCATTTCCAGATTATCCTGTTCCATTCAATTTCATTTTTTTTCCCGTCTACTGCTTAAAACAATAAAGTCGCGGCTAATCTTCGGGTGCGATCATAACAGCACTAATGCACCGGATCCCATCAGAACTCCGTTGTTAAGCGTGCTTTGGCGAGAGTAGTACTAGGATGGGTGACCCCCTGGGAAGTCCTCGTGTTGCACCCCTTTTGTCCCTTTTTCCACCACCCCCCCAATTTGTTATAATTGAGAAGGTTTAATAGTGCTTAACTCACTGTTCAGAATATAAATTGTGTACTTTAGACCTATAGGGGTGCCTTTCTTTTATAGTTAACCCAATCTTAGTCCCAATAGAAGCCTAGCTTCAATGGACTTTTGCTTAGTGCTTATCTTGGACTCTCCCATAGATAAAGATAAACTCCCTAAGAGCTTTATCCTTATCCAGGCTGAAGTCCTTTCTTATTCTAGGACTCTTGTCCCTTATCCGTTTATCTTGAATTCTGATATCTTTAGAGATAACCTCGGCCTATCCGAGATTACCTCAGCGTCACGACCAGGACATGTGGCACCTCGGCTGACACGTCGGCGTCCCCTTGGCCAC